GGTTGGATTCTGGATGTATTTTGAAGGCAGAGCCAAAGAATTTACTAATGGATTGGATGTGGCATGGGGTGGGGGCGGGGGGCAGTGGCGGCGGACAGAGACAGAAGTCAAGAATGACTCCAAGGATTTGGGCCTGAGAAACTGCAAGAGTGGAGTTGCCATTTGCTGAACTGGTAAGACTGCAGGAGAAGCAAGTTTGTGGAGACCAGCAGGAGGTCAGTCTTGACATGTGAACTTTGAGATACTTCTAGACAACTGTGACGATGAATGTTATGTGTCCACTTGGAGGGTGTTTTTGAATGAGATTAACACTTAAATCAATCTGGCTAAAACAGATTGCCCTCCATAATGTGGATAAGCCTCATCCAATCAGTTGAAGGCCTGAATAGAACACAAAGGACTGGCATGAATAGAACAAAAAAGCATGAGGGAATTCTCCAGCAGACTGCTTTCTGCACCATTGGCTCTCCTGGGCCCCCAGCCTGTTGGCCCATACTGCAAATTTTAGACATCTCAGCCTCCATAATCAGGAGAGCCAATTCCTTATAATAAATCTATCTGTATGTATGTATGTATGTATGTATGTATGTATGTATCCTACTGGTCTGTTCCTCTGGAGACCCCTAATATAATGTCTGACACTGCAAACAGTAAAGAACTGCTGGGGATATAAATCTGGAGTTCAGGGGTGAATTCTAGGACAAATACTAAATTTGTAAGTCATCAGCATTAAAATGATCTTTGTGGGATGAGACCACACAAAAGGGATGAGAGATCCTGGGTCTCAGTCTTGTGAAACTCCATTGTTTAGAAATTGGAAAGATGGAAAGAACCAGAAAAAGACTGAAAGAAGCAGCCAGTAAGGGAGGATGAGAACAAAGAGTGAGTGTGTCCCAGAAGACAAGCAAAGAAAGAGTTAAAAAGGAGGGACTGACTGATCAGCTGTGTGAAATGCTACTGATAGAATGAGGAAAACGAGACATTTGCCGACACGTATTTTGCTAGGTTTAATTAGCAAAAGACCAAGTATGCAAGGGAGACACCTACTGTAACGATCCATGCATAAACCATCGTTAAAGCCTCCTGGTGACCTGTAATTCTCCTCTTCCTGAAAAAGAAACCCTGGGTCCTGATGCCTCAAAGCTCTTTCTCTACTCCCACAATACACCTTCAGATGACTTCTACACCTTAACTGTTGCTCTGTCAATGTATTACCTAGAGGGTGGGTGTTGGGAATTCTAACTTGTACTTTGAAAGATACACTTTTGACTCACTAAAAGCTATATAATATTTTATTGCAGCATATGTGCATACATGTATTCAACAGAATTGAGTGCCTACCTTATGACCCGCACCATGGTAGCCACTGGAGATGATGTGGTGAGAGAAACGGTCTTGACTGTCAAGGAATGCACACATGCAGGAGACCAAAACGATTTCTCAACACTACGAGACATGTACTAGATAGTGTGGGAGAACAAAGGAGAGGCACCTCCCTGGAGAAAATTGGGAGATCACTGAAAGATATTTAGTGAGGGGATAACATGATCACCCTGCCATGGGAAGGATGCTGTTGTGACAGTAAGCAGTTGAAAATGGTGAAGGTCTGTAACGAGGCACTGGAGTCGGGGAAGGAGAAAGGAGCAGAGTCAGCCAGAAGGTAGAATCAATGGATCCAGTGTTTGACGGGTTTAGGGCATCAGGGAGAGACAGAAGTCTAGTCTAGTGGACCAGTTATGTACTGATGCCGTAAGTATAACAGGTTTGGGGGACTGAGAAGGGAAGGAGATGATGACTTTGGTTTGTGATTCTGTTGAGTTTAAGGTATAAGGTAACTAAGTAGGGATGTTCAGTCATCAATGGGATGCAAGGTCTGAGACTCTAAAAAGGAGGGGGGGTGGATATAAACATCTGGGATTAATCAGACTATAGATATTCTAATATTGAAGCCATGGCTAAAGAATTAGAAGCCTACAAAGATACTATGAACAAGTGGGCACAGAGACAGGAAGCAAAGGCAAGGAAAAAGCAGTATCATAGCCATCAAGAGAAGAAATTTTCTGAAAAAGAAAGAAATCAGTGGTGTCCCATGCTACAGAGAAGTCACAGTATGAATGGAAATTTATTCCTTGGGCTTACATGAAGAGACTAATCTCACTAAAATCTCTTCAAATATTTTCTCAGGTCCTTTCTGTCTCTCTTCTCCTTCTGGGACTCCTATAACGTGAATGTTGTTTAAGGTTGTCCCAGAGGTCTCTTAGGCTGCCTTCATTTCTTTTCATTCTTTTTTCTTTATTCTGTTCCAGGTCACTTGTCCGTTCTTCTGCCTCAGTTATTCTGCTATTGATTCCTTCTAGTGCAGTTTTCATTTCAGTTATTGTATTGTTCATCCCTGTTTGTTTGTTCTCTAATTCTTCTAGGTCTTTGTTAAACATTTCTTGCATCTTCTCGATCTTTGCCTCCATTCTTTTTCCGAGGTCCTGGATCATCTTCACTATCATTATTCTGAATTCTTTTTCTGGAAGACTGCCTATCTCCACTTCATTTAGTTGTTTCTCTGGGGTTTTATCTTGTTCCTTCATCTGGTACATAGCCCTCTGCCTTTTCATTTTCTCTATCTTTCTGTGAATGTGGTTTTCATTCCACAGGCTGTAGGATTGTAGTTCTTGCTTCTGCTGTCTGTCCTCTGGTGGATGAGGCGATATATCTAAGAGGCTTGTGAGATTAATCTCACTATAAATCACCTAACAAATTAGTAAGTTAAGGATCCTGGCATGCATTTATTGCTATAACCAGATAACCATAGTCTTTTATGTCATAGGGTTTTGTTTATTAAAATTAGTCCCATAAGTGAATGTATAATTATTTCAAAGTAAAAAAAAAATTAATAGCCCCATAATACAGTCCTTTTAAATAAATTCAGAAACGTTTACATTTTTTTTTTTTCCAGTAAGCTTCACATGGCCTAAAGCAGTCATAAACTTGAATATTCACAGGGCCCAGGCAAGTAAAATCAATGGGTAAAGCAATCCAAGTCTAGGAAAAACAAAAACAAAAACCTAAAGAACACATGTCCTTTCTAAAAAGAGCAGAGCCACCATCAGTTCCCACTATATGGACATATGGGCTAGTCTTGACTGGTCACCTGGTTTTCAAGATAAGCCAGAAATCTGAACTTTTTAAAATGACATCTCCCAAGTTTAAAAGATAGCCAATTAATTTAGATGTTTTTTCAAAATACTTTGTGAACTTAATAAAATACAGTAATAGGTCCCAGGTGGTTCATGGACTATCGGTTTTTTTTTTGTCTGTTTGCTTGTTTTGTTTTTTTGCGGTACGCGGGCCTCTCACTGTTGTGGCCTCTCCCGTTGCGGAGCACAAGCTCCGGACGCGCAGGCTCAGCGGCCATGGCTCACGGGCCCAGCCGCTCCACGGCATGTGGGATCTTCCCGGACCGAGGCACAAACCCGTGTCCCCTGCATCAGCAGGTGGACTCTCAACCACTGTGCCACCAGGGAAGCCCGACTATCAGTTTTTTACTGATAAAAGAAGTCATTGGTGTCCCATGCCACAGAGTAGTCAAGATAAGAATGGAAATTTGCCCTACAGTATGTATAGAATTTTAATCTTATACATTGAGGGAAAATTAATTGGCTAATGATAAAGACTCATAAGCTGAAACAGAGCCAGATCTAGACTCTATTTCTTTTTGTTCTAAAACCAGTATTTCCTTCGTTGTGATTCTACAGTCTTAACAAAAGGAAATACACACCCAGGGTACTCAGACATGCAAGTTAATAATCACAATATGCTGTAATAAATTCAAGAAAGACGTTAGAAGCTTCACAATTAATCCAGATGCTCTGGCTCTTCTGAAATGTTTCTAAGTAGAAGCTCCATCAATTAAATTACTGATGATTAAGCCAGTCAACTGTTTATGCCTCACAAATTCTGCTTTAAACGTATAGTACCCAGTTATAAGGGGTCTTTAACTGAAAATTATAACTTGGCTGAACAAATATCTATATCTAAAGTTTGACAGTAACATCATGCAGGTATTTTAAATTTCTGGAGAAAAGTTTAATTATTGCAGGGCTGATAGAAAACTGGACTCCAACTGTTAAGACTTTATTCAGTTATATTACAGTCTATACTCACCCATTCATTAAACATATATTGTGAACCTACCATTTCCTGTTATGTAAGAATAAATTCGAAAGCTCAGGGAAGGGTGAAGCGGATATACATCTAAGCTAATTATTTCAATGAATGAAACACGGAGGTAAGTGCTACAGTAGTCCAGGAGGAAGGAGGTAGCACAGCTAATTATCTCCTTTGACCTCGTTACCAGCCCTCTGCTGTAGGTATTATCACGTTGATTTTGCCAGAACCGAGTACAGTGGCCTCAGAGCCAGAAGGCTGGGTGGGACGTAGACCCACCTGTTCTGAGTGCAAGTCCACAGCTGAGATTCGGTGAACAGAAAAGGAATCTTTTTTTTGTATTCCTCCTCTTTCTAAGGAGTTAAGGTACTCCTCTGTAAAGAAACTTTTCCTTGTAAAGTCCTAACAAATGTTAGTTATGTGCTCTGATTTAAGCCATTTCAACTCAATTACAGAAAATTTGTCATGTTTTCTCCTGTGGGGAGTTATAAACTAATTTGAACTTGATAGGCTTCTGTGCAAGGAAAGGCAAGTCTCGCCGGTTAGAGCAGCAGAATCATTTTGGAGCCAGGGTCGTCTGCATCTACGTGCGTTTGCACAAAATCGAATCCAAATCCAAACCCACCAGCTCTGAGGCAGTTTAATCGAGCAAGACCAAGAACGCGGCCTGAACGTGTCACTGGTCCCGGCTTGGGCGAAGGCGATCGGAAACCACGGCCAGGGCCCGTATTTCCTGAGTGAAATGCTATTTATAGACAGGCCCGAGAGAAGCCAAAGCCGACAACAGCTGCACTGCGACGCGGTGTCACCGCCATGCAAGCAGGTCTCACACCGCTCACCTTCACAGTCGGCGCCCAGCCGCCCCCCGGCCTCCTGGCCCTGCGCCCGCCCCGGGTTAGAGACCCAAAGCCCGGCGCAAAAGGCCACCACTGCGGCTGGGCTCCCGCACCACATGCTGAGCCAGCTCCAAACGCCTCGCCACCTGCGAAATGAACCGCAGCGCTGCTATCGCCCGGGGCTGCTCCAGGACGCAGGAGCGCAGAGCAGGGGTTGGAAAAAAATCTGCCTGGAGTTGCTGGGACACATGATGCAACTCAACCGTGAGTTTCCATTGGCTCTCAAAAAAAGGGCATGGAAGCGGGAGGGGCGAAGCAGCCGCTTCCTTTCACTCCCCGGCCTGCGCGTGCGCACTCTCGCTCACTCGGTGCCTCCCCAGCGGGGCGGGGAGAGACGCAGTAAAGCTATTCGCTGACTCTCGAGGGGAAAGGCGGGACCTTCACGCTGATTGGCGGGGACGCGGGAGGCCGCGGCGGAGGGACCGGACGCAGTGGGTGGGCGGGCGGGAACGTGAAGTCTCCGCGGTGCCTGATGGGGCTGTTCCGCGGCCTGGCGCTCTTGCGGCCGGGGACACCGCTCGATACTGCTGCCGCTGTCTCTGCCGCCTCATGGCGGCCATCGGGGTTCACCTAGGCTGCACGTCAGCCTGTGTGGCCGTCTATAAGGTGAGGGACTCGGGGACTTGGGCTGCGCGTACCCAGTTCTCTGGGTGCAAGGCCAAGTCCTTTGGTCTCCTGCGGGGCTGTGAACGGCCTGTCGCCGGCCTGGGGACGTCGCGCGGAGAGGTGATTCTGTGGGGAAGTTTTGGGCTGAGAGCTGGGCGGACCCGGCCTCGTCCCCCGCGGCTCCTCAAGGTTGGCGGGCGCAGGGGCCCCGAGGGGGGGCGGACCCGGGACCTTGCGGGCGCAGGAGGCTCAGAGCGGGGGCGGACCCGGGACATCGCGGGCGCAGGAGGCCCCGAGGTGGGGGCGGACCCGGGACATCGCGGGCGCAGAAGGCCCTGAGGGGGACCTGAACGTGTGGTACCCGGAGGTTTCTGGACGTTGGCCAGAGCACGGGGTGGCCGCGTTCTGGAACTAGAGGTGTTGATCCCGCGAAGCGTGTGAAGCCAGATGATGGTGTGTGCTCTATTTAGATGTCCTTTCTGGAAATGAGAGAGCCTGACTAGGAGTTAGGGGCTTCCTGTCATCAGTGGGCAGGTGGAAGGAACAATAATGAGGGACAGCCCTGATCCTAGTCTCACGTTTAAATGTCAAATGATTTGTAAGGAAAAGCCAAAGGGTTTAATGCTACTTCATCATATGTAGAGAAAGGGAAGAAAGATGTGTTTATAGGGAAGGGAAGAGAAGTAGGAAGTTTAACACAATAAGGCTTGTTATTGTACATAGATAGGTTGTTGTTATGTCTGTTCTGTTGTCCACTATGCAGAGTAGACTGAAAAAAATGAGGTAGTCCTTCATGGAATTCTGGTCTTAATTAAAATCTAGGAAATCTACGTGTTTAAAATAATGATAAAGCACTTTTTCTCTCCACATATATGTCAAGAGTAACACTGGCCCACCCATGTCTGAATATATCTAAAGAGACTGTATATTTCATCACAAAAGAACTAATACAGTTGCTGTTTTTCTCCAGGATGGCCGGGCTGATGTGGTCGCCAATGATGCAGGTGACAGAGTTACTCCAGCTGTTGTTGCTTACTCAGAAAATGAAGAGGTACTATTCCCCTCATTTTTGAACTTTGAAATAAGGAAAAAATTATGTGCGTTGTAACATATTGCTCTTTTTCAGGTTGTTGGATTGGCAGCAAAACAAAGTAGAATGAGGAATATTTCAAATACAGTAATGAAAGTAAAGCAGATCCTTGGCAGAAGGTATGGAATAAAACAATACCTCTACCCGTGGTAATAAAAACGTGTTTATACATTCTAAGTGTAACGTGAAATGAAACTAGAAACGCCAGCGTGTTTTTCCCTGTTTTTTATGCCTGGGTCATCTCGCAGAGTGCTCTAGGAGCTGTTATCTTCTGATATTATCTTCTACTGAGTCTTCTCAAGGATGGGATTCACTCAGACGTTTGTTTCTTGCCTTCAGATCTGTTAGTATTGATTGATGCCAACATACATTTAGTTTTGATAATTTGTGTCATCCAGAGGTGGGAATTTGGACTTATCACATTTGTACAGTACTTTTTTAACTGAGGGAACTTGAAAGATTGTGTGCGAATTTGAAGATTTCTTTGCACTGTAGTTGAATTTCGTGGAATCTATTATAAATGGTGAAATATTTATGTAGAAGCTATTGATTTTCTTCCTCAGATCTTTTTGTGACACTTTCTGGGAACTAAGTTTAACAGTTGGCTTTCAAATTTAAGCATTAGGGAAACAGCTTAATTGATGTCTTAAGAATCAGGTTAATCAGCTGTTGTAACTTTAATTAAAAGATTAAAGAGGCTTGCTTCCCCAGACTTGTCTCCTCAAATTATAGATTACCGTGATAATTAGGGGTTTTCATTTTCACTGGAGTTGTAATACTTGCTGTAGTGTTTTTAAATTTTCAAAGTGCTTTCACATCTATTATTTTATTTAATCCTCTCAAATCCCTGTAAGATTGTCAGGCAGGTTTTATCCCTTCCCATTTCTAGATGAGAAAATCAAGGCACACAGAAGTTAGATATCCCTAAGTTAGTTAGGGGGTAAACTAGAAAGGACTGCAGTCCAGGGCGCCTAACCGTTAGCCCCAGGTTCTTTCCTTTCTACTTCGTCAGTTAAGAATTTAGGTAGAAATTTCCTCGTGTTGACTTTAGGATTGGGGGATCATGGATTAAATTTAAAATTTATTTCTTTTATACATACAGATATTTTTTACTATCCCTTACCTGTGTTTAGTTAAACTGAATTTGATACTCATTTTTTTTCCTTAGGATCTTTTTGCATTACATCAAAACTTGTAGTATTTCAGAGAGAATTCAAATACTCTCTGATGATACATATATTCCCATATCCATTTATCTGTTGACGAAGTTTAGTACTGAGCATATTGGAAATAATTTGAGTTGGTGTCAAAAATTTTCAAATTATAGACTGAAAAACAAAGCAGGGAGTTGTAGAAGCTAGATTCACTCATTGTAAGCAGCCAACAATGTATTTTTTTAAGTAAACTTTTTTTTTTTTTGAGATAATGGTAGGTTTACATACTGTTACAAGAAATGATACAGAGAGATGGAATGTATTATTGGATTTACCATTTTCTCCCAGTGGTAACATCTTGCAAAACTATACTACAGTATCACAACCAAGGTACTGGCATTGATATAATCAAGATACAGAACAGTTCCACAGATCCATCCCCTTGGTAGCCCTGTTTGTTTTTTTGCTGCTATTTTGGGGCGGGTGGTGGAAGTAAAGATGTGGAGGTCTTCTGCCATATTATGCAAAAAGCTTTGTATTAGCAAGAACAACTTCAGCTTGCTTTTCTGGCCCTGGAAGTTACCTTTTAACAAAAGAGTCCAATGGTGACAGTCAGCTGGTACATAGCCAGAGCATCCTACTTAGACCTAGGTTAGTAAGGAATGAGCCCCTTTAGACACGTATTGCTATGCCATGGTCCTGCTAGGACTTCTCCAGAATGAGCTGCCTCATGGTCCAGGCATTTCTCCGCCTCGGTCTGTCTGCTTAGAAGTTAATGGTGATTTTTACAGATACACAGTTGTACCAGGTCTCAGCCTTGGAAGCATTCTGCACTTTGTGGAGGAGCCAGTCCCTTTGTTACCAAGCCAGTAAGGCCCTTTTTAGCCCTTGATCCAGTACCCATCCTGAGCGAATTCCCAAAGTTGGGCTTTCTCAGTGCTGGCATCCTGCCTCTTTGCAGCCTACTTACAGGTAGCACCGCTTAACTTGCTGCCACAATTATCCTTACCCATCCCTGTAACTTTCATTCCCCTGTGGCCTTCCAGCCAGAAATGCGGTCCTTGGACCTGGCTTCTCAGCAATTAGCCCTGAGAGGGAAGAATCGGCTGGCTCCTGGAGATAGACCTGAGCACACAGAGCCTCCCCACACCTTCAGATCGGCACCTTGCTGCCCAGGAGCCTCCTCCAGCTAGCCTTCCTTCCCAGTCCGCTATGGCCACTTCCAATAGCAGCGCAGGCATCCGGTGGTCCAGACAGGAGACACGCACGCTTCTCTCCATACTAGGTGAGGCAGAGTATATTCAGCGCCTCCAGACCGTGCATCACAATGCAGACGTCTACCAGGCTGTGTCTAAGCGGATGCAGCAGGAAGGCTTCCGCCGCACCGAGCGTCAGTGCCGCTCCAAGTTCAAAGTCCTGAAGGCATTATATTTAAAGGCCTATGTGGCCCACGCCACAAGTATGGGTGATCCACCACACTGTCCCTTTTATGATACATTGGATCAGCTTCTCCGAAATCAGATAGTGACTGACGCAGACAACTTAATGGAGGATGCTGCTTGGGCCAAGCACTGTGATCAGAACTTAGCGGCCTCTGACACCCCAGGGGAAGAGGGAGCCAGCATTCTGGGAGCAAAGAGGACTCAGGCAGCAGATCATCAGCCTGTCTTGAAAACAGTTAAGGAATCAGATGAGGATTGTCAACTGAGGATCAGTGACCAGATGCGAGAAACCAGTGACCTTGAGGACTCCTGGGATGAATCTTCGGGTGCAGGTAACTCCCCAGTGTGTGAAGGATCAGGGTCCCAGAGTCACTTGGTTCTAATCGTTACATGTTTGGATGGTGACCTTGTCAGCATAGTCCCTATTTCTGCCCCCTGCCCTCTTTTTTAAATCTAATGGTAAGATAAAGGGCTTCAGGTTTTTAAGAGGCGTGACCCTAGGTATGTGAGATATTAGAGCTCCTTTAAACCTGGAAGCACTCCTTAGAACCAGACTAGTTTGGGCATTGTTGATAATGGAGACTTAGGAATTTGTGGCTGTAGAGTAGGTCGGATAGCTATGTGGAAAGGGGCTCAGGAAGGCGAGGGGAGAGGTTTTGGATGTGTGATTGCAACAGAACAAAATGTCCAGATAAGGAAGTGAATTCTTCCCCATCCCTCGTGGAAAGAGGCCTTGCTGGGAGTACCATAGCTTTGTCACTGTCCCTCAGCTCTGCTGCTGG